GAAACTGGAGTTATAGATTGCTGTGAGGCACTCATGGATGCTGGGAAGTGAACTCAGGACTCTGGGTCTTTGGAAAGACAACAGGTGCTCTTAATCATTTAGCCATGTCTCTAGGCCCTGCTTCCTGGGGGGTAGGGGGAGAAGGGAGAGAGGGAGACGGGAAGGGAGAGGGAGTTTTGGCTTGGTGTAGATGCAAGGGATGGTGATGGTTGGAATGGGTTGACAGGAGTGAGAACTGCAGGTGACTGCAGGTGGGTGTGGTTTGTCTGATAGAGTAGATACAGGGTTAAGGAGGAGAAGAAGCAAAAGATGACTGCCTGATATTTGAGTGAGCTTGAGTGAAGCTCAAGAAAAGAGAAGAGAGAGGTGTGGGTGGTGGCTCCAGATGAAGTCTGAGGTCTCATCAGGTGGCCTGGTGACATGGAGAAGTCAGCTCATGAGACTTGGAATGAGGGAAGAGGTCCAATCCGGGGGTCAGACATGAGATTCATGATACCCAAGAAAGGCATGTGTGGGCTTTGGGGCATTCTGGGTTGACTTCTCTGAGAGTGGCCCCCATAGGGCTTACTTATTTGAATGCTTGATCTGCAGTGGGTGGAACTGTTTGGGGAGGATTAGGAGGTGTGGCCTTGTTGGAGGAGGTGTGTCATTGAGAGTGGGCTTTGAGATGTTAAAAGCCCATGCTATTCCTAGTTAGCTTCTCTCGCTTCTTTGACGTTATTATGTCACATGTAATCTCTTAGCTACTGCTCCAGAGCCAAGCCTGCCTGCCTGTGGCCATGCCTACTATCAGCACAGTCATAGATCCCACTACCCTCAGGAACCATAAACCCCAAATTAAATGCTTTTTTAAAAAATAAGTTGTCTTAGTCATGGTGTCTCCTCACAGCAATAGAAAAGTCACTGAGACCAACGAAAGTGTGAGCAAAAATAGACAAGTTTATAGTACGCCAGGGACTGAGCTAAACACTGCTTTATGTGGTAGGGAAACTGAGGCACAGAGGTGAGTTGACACCATTCCCTACTGAGAAGTCATTGTTGTTGTGGTACTGGTGATGCCAGGCTGCACATGCACCCGCCATTATGACCGGGGAACCTCTATTCCTCAGCCTTTTCACTGAGCACATTCAACAGTGTGTGGCAGGAATCGCAGTGGCCACAAACTCTGGGGACACGAGTTCAAATCCAGAGTCTGCCATTCGCCAGTTGTTTTGCTTGCAGAGAACAAACAACACACAGATCTCTTAGGTCGTCTTTCAGGCATCGTTTCTCCTGCCTTCTGCCTTTGCTCTGCTGTTTCTTCCCCAGCTACCATACCACTCCTGCCAGCCTAACCCTTTCTAGCCAACTCTCATTTCCTGGCAGTGCCAGGCTGATTATTTCTAATTGTCTTTGACTGCTTCCAGCTGGGTCTTGTAGCTGGCGTACTGTGGGAGCACACAAACAATTTCTCAGCCATATGGAAGGAGGAAAAGGAGAGAAGGAAGAGCAAGAAGGAAGCAGCTGGCTGAGTCAATGAAACAGCTTCCCCTGGCTTGCCTGGCCTCTTGTGAATGATGTTTTGAAAGGGTTAACTCCACCAGGGCTTGAGAATGAATGACCTCTCTTTGATAAATGATTAAATCGGTTGATTCCCCAAAGGCAACAATGTAGCAGTAACTTTAGAAAGTCATTTGTAACTTCTAACTGAGGGCAGATGGGGTTTTGCTGTCCTCAAGGAAGAAACAGTCACTGGACACTCAGTGACTGGTTTTTTGCACTCAGTCAACAAATACTCTTTAGACAAGTTTGCAGCTCAGACACTGTGCTGGGCACTGTAGGACAACATGTAAACCAAACAGGCACAGCCCCTGTCCACTGAGTCTAAAAAGAAAGACATCCAGTAAGCAACATGGAGGATAGAAGGTGGAAGCTGAGTGGTATATCATGAGAACAGAGGATTCATCAGCTATGGCAGCTTGTTGGTTGGGAAGGGCTTCTCCCAATGGAACACTTATGTTGGGTGAAAACTGGCCAGAAGCCGCAGTTTGGAAGTGTGAAGCTAGGAAAGCCAAGCCTAGACAAGGACAGACAACTTTTTTTTTTTTTTAAAGATTTATTTATTTATTTTATGTATGTGAGTACACTGTCACTGTCTTCAGACACACCAGAAGAGGGCATCGGATCCCATTACAGATGGTTGTGAGCCACCATGTGATTGCTGGGATTTGAACTCAGGACCTCTGGAAGAGCAGTCAGTGCTCTTAACCACTGAGCCATCTCTCCAGCCCAGACAACTTGTTTTAAAAAATACTTTATTTCAAATTAACTCTCTCTCTCTCTCTCTCTCTCTCTCTCTCCCTCCCTCCCTCCCTCCCTCCCTCCCTCCCTCCCTCCCTCCCTCTCTGGAGGGGAGGGGGCTGGCGGGCATGTGCATCTGAGTGCAGGTGCCTTTGGAGGCTAGAAAAGGGCATTGGGTCCCCTGAAGCTGGAGCCACAGGCCGTTGCAAGCAGATCAATATGCATGCTGGGAATTGAACTCTGGTCCTCTGGAAGGGCAGTGCAGGCTCTTAACCACTGAACCATCTCTTTATTCCATAGACAGATACTCCGTAATGCCTAGATGAACCCTACAAGTTTGGTGGTGGTGGGGTGTTAGTTGAGGCTCTTCAATGACAGGTGACTGGCCCTCTGCCAGATATTTCTGGACTACCTCATGGGAGAGTGATACAGCGTCACGTGCTTGTTTGTTTTATGAAATGAAGTTCTGGAGTCATTCCTTATTGAGCAAGGCCTCTTTAGACAGCAGGAACTGTAGTTCAAAAACCAGTTACTAAGCTCAGGCAGGGGTGGGATTTGAACTTCTCTTTTTCTTTGGCATCCATCCCAGCCAATAGAATTAGCAATGCACTTGGACCAGACCCAGGCAGCAGCAGGCTTGAAGATTTAATGGGCCTGTGTTTTCTCTCTTCTTCACCCATTTCCTGGCCTCTACCCTGGGAGGGCATAATCAAAACATTAAAAGGAAAGAAAGTCTCTATTTCATCATAAGTGACTTCCACCACTTATGAAGCGCCTCCCCTCCTGCCCCTGGCAAATGATGAGTACTCTCTGGGATTTGCCTTAAACTGCAACAAATGAATCTCTAAATTTTCACAAAGAGCTAATTTCCTAAATTTAAATCAATACAACATTGGGAAACTTTAAATCCTTTCCTGATGGAAGATTCACCCCAAAATGGGCTTCATCCCCCCTCCCCACACTTTGAACCTAGCATCCTCTCCCTCTCCCCATCTCTTGCCATTTTAAAATACAATTACTGAATTAGAAATGGGAAAGTGACTGGATGAGCCCTGCAGAAACCGTAGGAGCTAAGGCGTCCCTTAAGTACAGCAAGAAAGCAATGGAAAGCTCGTCTTTAACGTAGGAAATCCAGAGCAATGAGACCCCAGCCCAAGACAAGACTAGACTCGGTCATAATAGCAAGGGTGGAGACTTACAGCATATGCATGGTTCAAAACAACAGATGCTTAGACTTGAAAACGGACATTTTGGGGTTACTTTCCAGATAGGCCAGGGACCTCCCCCACCCCAAGACTGCATGGGTGACAGCTGTATCCCTTCCCCCATCTCAGACCATTAATGTGGATCGATGATGTCATACCTGTTTTCTGCGGGGGTAAACAAAGCAATGAACTTTGTTAGGACCGAATCCTCCCTTTGAGCTCAGATGATGTGTGATCAGAGGTTAAATTTGCATTAGGCACGGGCACCGCAACAGGTCGCATTTTGGAAAGTCCTCCCCGCATCCTTTTTTGTGTCTCTCATTTCGGTTCAGGAAGATGTTGGGGATCCTGGAGACACCGGGTAGGTGTCTCAGGCTGTTTATATTTATTGTTTATGTGAGATCAGTACAGTCACAGAGCCCGCAGAACAAAAAGCATCCAGGAGCGGTGAGGCTCCGGTCCGGCTCACCCTGCAATACATCATCTCTAAGGAAAGCAGAGAGGGAGTAAACGGACTCGCACAGGCGGCAACCGCCCTGTTCTTATGCTGCCGCCACCCCTGTTAGCTGTGGCGGCTGCTTCTTTACAGACAACAGCAATCTAGTATGTGTGCGAGCCCCGACACACAGCTTGCTAGGTACCCAGCCACCCACCCACCCACCCATCCATCTTCCAGAGTCCCTACTGTGTGTCAGGCTCTGGGCTGGGTACACAACTCTCCTACAGTCCAGGGCTTCTCTTTCTCTTTCCCCTGGCCACGGTGGGTGCTGTTCGTGAGGAAATTCACTCTCGAAATGTCCAGAAAGCTCAAGCTCAGAACCTGCGCGATCCGCAACCCCCCCACCCCCCCGCATCCCTCTCCCCGAGGCAGCAGGTCTTGGGAAGCCCGGGAGCGCGCGTCTACGAGGCCGCGCGGGGTCCCCCTGTCTGGCGCTCAGGTGGCTTCACCGCCCACTCCGCCGCTCCCTTCCCCTCCCCTCTCCCAGCGAGGGTCGAGTTCGGCTGTTGCGCGCGGGGAAGGAAGGAGGGGCTACGAGGGATTTGAAAGTGCTCAGGCTGCGGAGTGGAGCTCGCTTCTGTCCCCGCCGCCCGCGAGCGGATTAAATTTCTGCAAATTCAAACTGAATGGGGCTTTCTTCTGCTGCCTTCCAGAGGGCGCCTGCAGCCCGCCGCGCGCTCCTCTCCGGCGGGAGCGGCCCCGGGGAGCATCGCTGACGACCCGGCGGGCCAGAGGGCGGCGGCGCCCGGGCTTGGGGGACTCCACCACCGGACCGTGCGCCTCTCGGACCAGCAGCCGCTCCCTCTCACACCCGATCGGGGCACCAGACGGGACCGCGGGCGCGATCTGGGCGATCGATCCTCCGAGCAGGAACTTCTCGGGGGCGGGTCCCCGCTCGCCCCGTCGCCAGCTATTGTCTACGCGCGGCGCTAGCACAGAGGCGCGGGGGGCGTGAGCGCGGAGACCCGGGTCGGGCGGGGCCGGGTCCAGAGCGGCGGCGGGAGGAGCCGGGGCAGTCCGGGGAGCCGGAGGAGGAGCGGCTGCGAGCGCGGGAGCCGAGAGAGCGCGATGCCGGCAGCGGCGGGGGACGGGCTCTTGGGCGAACCGGCGGCTCCGGGGGGCGATGGAGGCGCGGAGGACACGGCCAGGCCGGCGGCGGCCTGCGAGGGAAGTTTCCTGCCTGCCTGGGTGAGCGGCGTGTCCCGCGAGCGGCTCCGGGACTTCCAGCACCACAAGCGCGTGGGCAACTACCTCATCGGCAGCAGGAAGCTGGGCGAGGGCTCCTTCGCCAAGGTGCGCGAGGGGCTGCACGTGCTGACCGGAGAGAAGGTGAGCTGGGGTGCGCGGGCCTGGCGGGAGGACCCGGGAGCACTGTCCCGCGAACACTCAGCCTAGCTTTCCAACCCAGTGGAGCTAGACGCACGCTCAGGCTCTCGCAGTGGGCCGCCGGGCACCCACTGATGGGTGATGGTGGTGGTGGGGTTACGTTCGTGGGGTGGGGTACACGGGCAGATAGATGTATCCGCGAAGCTACCCCGCACTGTCTTTCTGTTTTGTTTTGGAAGGGTGCCGCCTGGCGGACGGCAGAGGAGGGAGGGGAGAGGTGGCGATGAGGGTCCTGTGGTGGGGTCATAGATCATTGCAGAGGCGGGAACTAGATCCAGCCTCGAGTTCAGCCTTGCTTACGGAATGTGCGGCGGAAGAGCAGGGCAGCCAGTCTGTGGTTGCTTATAGTTTCATCTCTCCTGGGCTCAGGCGAGGACGTGGAGGGGAGTTGAGCCCTTGTAAGCTACCCTCTCCATCCGCGTGGGCCGGGGCAACAGTTTGAGATGGAGAACAGATCCTGCTTTTGGCAGGTGCAGAACTAGCAGGCCCTGGATTCTAGAAGTTTGGAGATACCTTTTCATCTTTCTAGAAGACAGGAAAGGAAAGGGGCCGCTCCCCCACACCCGGAGGGACACCACTTCGACCTAATTAGAAGTTAGAGAGTGAACTCTTGGCAGGCCAGGTGCGGGCAGATCTCAGGTGTTAACTTAGATTTGTGAGAAGAAACCCAAGAAGCTGACTTACTTTTGAGGCTGGGTGGCCTCAGACAGGGACTTGCTCGGGGCTGCCAAGCTGGTATCTTTGCAGGGACCCAATATTCTTAATCACCGAGGCTGGGTGCTGTCCACGCGGGTGGAGGAGGGGAACTCAGGGGGGTCCTAGCAACAAATAGCCCAAGGGCCAAACCCTCGGGCCTGCTGCTCTAGGTTCTCTTGTCCAGCCTAGGAGTTTGTGACAGTGATGAATTGTGAGAAGTCTGGTGACAGCCCCGAGCTGCCGTGCTAGCCATTTCCTACCGTCCTGGTACCTTTGATTTCCTCTTGGTTTCTGTTGTCCAGGAGACCCCTACATTTGAGCACTGGGTTCCATCACCCTTAGCATTTATCTTCTTTTTCTGTAGCCATTCCAAGTGGAGTGCCCCTTTATATTGGGTAAACAGGGTTAGACAGAGTCAGTTTTAAAGGTGTCTCTTGCCCGAATTTCTAAGTAGAAGGCCAGCATTCAGTATGAACTCACATTAGCTCTTCGAAGAAGAACAAACTCCTTAGACCCGGCTCTAGTTCTCACTGGAGTAAGGGAAAGTTTATTTACTCTTTAGTGTGCAGTGGGCTGTCTGCCTGACACACGGTTCAGGGTACTGAGGTACAGCCTGATTTCAGTGAGCTCATTTCTGTTCCGGCAGGGAGAGGCGAAGGACTTTGCTCTCATAGTCTGTAGGATTCAGTCTGGCTATGCAGGTACATCACCTCCCTAAAAAGATCAGAACTCCTTAGAGCTTCTTGCCACGTTGGGCTAGACTTCAGCTCCTCACTAGGGCAGTTTGGCCCCATGGGATAATACTTTTGTCCTTGGCTGCACTGCCTGGGGTATTCAGAGTTCAGTCCTGATTCAGTTCTGGACTCTTGTGTTAACTCCTGCTTAACAGGAATAAATACAAGGAGTTTCTGCCCAACTCGGGTCTAGATGGAGGGACTCTTTTCCTCCTATCTTTATGATGTCTCAATTCATCTTTGCAATGAGAGGAGGCTTATTGAATAAAATTTTTTTTCCCTGGATCAATTGATAAGATCTAGTTAAAGACCCTAGTCCTAAATGCAGACATAGAGGCTAGGGAAGGATACTTATGTTGCAAACCTTGGTCTTTCCTGCTATGCTTTTCTGTAGCCAGGAGGAACCCTGCTCTGGGAACAACAGAGTATCAGGGAGGGACCTGGATTTTAGCTCCTTCAGTGGTGAGCTTTAAAGAAACAGTGGTGCTATTCATAGCTTTTATCTCCCTAACCCTACACCTTTAATGCTTAACTAATAGATGTGGGCTTTAGCCATTGTAGAGATGAGAAGGAGAGGGGAGGGGAGAACAACGGATGGCGAGGTCTTGACTTGCAGGCCTGCCTTTGTTTTGGGTTTTACTTTATTAAGCAAAGCTGGAGGCTACCTCAAGTTATTTGCAAACTAAATTGCAGGGCAAGGGGCTTCACCACAGGAAAGGCGGACTCTGTGGAAGCCTGCCTCCAGGCATGCCCCCATCACAACTTTTTTAGGGTACATAGGTTTAATTAAAGCATTTCCTTTCCTTTTTAGTGGGCACAGATTTTCCCTCTTAGGAGGAAGGGATGAAACATGTCCTCCCAGTGCTACATGGGCAGAAGGACCCAGAGTAGCTCATCTTGAGGAATGGCATTTGTGATACAGAGGATGAAGGGAAGATGAGGGCACCATCTCAAATTCTGTCTGTTCCAGAGCCACTCTTATCAGAGCATGCATTTTATTTTGGTTGTCTTGTGGTTAAATCTAGACTCTTGCTCGTCGAAGGCATCTGAGGCAGCGTGGGTGGTGGTGGTGTGTTTGGTAAGGTGCACATTTTGAGAATGCTTTGGGTAAAATCCTCCAGGGCTTGCTGGGAATTCCCGGCTGAGTCCAGAAGACAAACACGTTCCTTCTCCCCACTTTCATTTTGGACTCAGTCCTATCTTATCCAGAAGCTTCTATTGCCACCGATGCAGGTCAGGTCAGTGTTTTACCCCAGTGGCCTCTGAAGCTGTTTGCTTGGAAGCAATCCGAATCGAATCTAGATGGCCCCTTTACTGCTGAGCACAAAGGATGGCTAAGGGCTGAGACCTAAGTTTTGCTTTCCTTTAGCTTTTAAGCAAGGGCAATCTTTGCTCATCTGGATTTATAAAAATAAATATCCATTCAACCATAGGTCCTTCATTACGATGTTCTCGGTCATGACTGAGGTGACATTTGGGCCAGGAGACATCGTTTGTTTGATTCTGAAAAACGTAATTTCCTGTAGCTTTACATAGAGAACAGAGTGGCTGGGGAAAGTATGGGCTAGGGACTTTCAAAGACTAGGGAGGCTCTGCTGGTTGCCTCAAAGTGGTTCTCCATAGGGAAGAAGCACCCGTGTGAGGCCCATGAGAAGTTACTATCACATTTTAAAACTTGAATAAAATGTAACTGAAATGGCTCCACAGTTAGAGGTGTGTGCCAGCAAGCCTGATGACCCAAGTTTCATCCCTGACACTCTTCGAAGATAACCACCAACTCCTGCAAGTTCTCTTGTGATCCCCAGACTTCCATAAGTGCACTTCCGTGTGTACCCTCCATCAATAAGTGTAATAATATTAAAAATATTCATGAACACAGCAAAGAAGCTCAGTGGGGAAAGTCTGTGACCATCTTGGACACAGCTGTGCTTGGAAGGCTGACTTGAGTATTGGGCAGAGCAAACAGCGATGCCACCTTCACCTGTGATTAAGAGGCCAGGGTGGGTACATTAAACAGTCAGTGTAGGTACTCAAGGGATTCATTCTAACCTTTGACTTTTATTTAAAAGGCCATTTATATACTTCACTGGAGCTATTTTGGGGGCTGAAAACAAGGACTGCCTGCTTAGTAAGTTGCAAGCCATCACCCACAGAGTGCAGCAGCACCAGATACCTGGAGTGGAGAAGTTACTAAAATTACCTTTTACTACGTTTTTTTTTTTTTTTTTTTTTTTTTTTTTTTTTTGCAGAGCAGGAAATATGACTAATTTTAGAGGTGGCCTTTTGGCAGATCTGTTTTTAGCAAGTATTTCTGAAACAAACAGGTGCTAAATCCTGTATTTCTTTTTAAGAGAGAGAAATTTCAGAAGGGATGGTTCTGAGGTACAGGGCACACGTGGAGAACTGGAAGTTCCTCTTAACCTTCAGCAGGGGCTCCTTGGGAGGAAGGAGGCGTTTTCAGAGGCACCTGCCCTGTGGGTCCTGTGTGCAAGGTGGTGTCTATAATTTCCTGGATTACAGGTGATGGAGTTGTGGGCACACTCTTTTGAACTTCCTGCCTTGCCTCATCTTTTTGAAGTACTTGGAGGATGATGGAAATTGGCACGTAGGGCTTCTTTCTTGGTGCTCATTGACACGGGGCCAAAGGACTTCAAAGGATGCGGTGAGTCAGCACCACCGTGCAGAATGGTGCCTACGAGGAGGAGCACACCTTGCATTTTCTCTGCAGGTGTCCCGCTCCACTTACTAATCTGACTCAGGTCTGTGGGCCCATCCATGTCTGCATGTTGCTGGCTATTCCAGGGATGTAGCAATCATCCAGAGTGGTGATTATCTTCCCAGAAGGGGTAGAGCGTGCCAATCACATCCATCTGACGAGATGGGCAGGTTGGGTTGATGGCGTGGGTATAGAGTAGCGTTTGTACTGAAGTTTGTTTCCCTCTCAACTATTCATGATAACTGAGAGACTTGCTTTGCTGTCTTACCTAATTGCGCCCAGTCAGTGAGCCTTATTTTACTGGTTTTGGTTTGTTGTATATCATTGAGAAAGTGACCTTGAGCTGCTTGCTTGGTCCTCCTGCCCTTGACCTCTAGAGTACAGGATTATGGGTATCTGCCACCATGTCTGGTTTATCTAGTGATAGAGATTGTCTTAGTTGTTGTTATATTGTTGTGAAAGACAACATGACCAAGGCAAAAGAAAGCATTTTGTTGAGGGTTTGTTTACAGTGTCAGAGGGTGAATTCATAACCATCATGGCGGAGAGCATGGAGACACGCAGGCATGCGTGGTGCTGGGGCAGTAGCTGAGGGCTTACATGTAATCCACAGTCAGGAGGCAGAAAAGGAGTCTGGGCTGGGCATGGGTTTTAGAGACCTTAAAAGCCTACCCCTAGTGACACACCTCTTAATCCTTCCCAAACAGTTCCACTAACTGGGAATCGAACATTCAAATGCAAGAGCCTATGAGGACCATTCTCATTCAAACCACCACAGTGAGCAAACTCTGGCCTTC